GACCTCGGGGCTGGAGAGATGGCTCAGTGGTTAAGAACACTGACTGTTCTTGCAGAGGACCCGGGTTTGAATCCCAGCACCCAAATGGCAGATAACAACTCTCCATAACACCAGTTCCAGGGGATCCGACAGCCTCTTCTGTCCTCTGCGGGCACTGCACGACATGGGTGAACTTACCTACATGCAGATATAACATTCATACACATAAAATAAAAATAATAAAATATTTTTTAAAAAGGTGACCTAAAGTGAAACTGAGGCTGCAGCAGTGGCAGGTGGGCACAGTGGGTTCCGAAACTCAATCTGGAGCTCCTGGAGGGGAGCAACAGGCTCCAGGGGGACCCTAGACTCCCTTTCATCTCTGCCCAGGCCTCTGCTGCCAGGAGCTAGTTAGTCTAAAAATCTTAGGGATTTCACAATCCTCTCTTCCTGCCCCTCTTCCAGGTCCCCTCCCCTCTCTCAGAGCCCAGGCCGATGACTCAGCACATTTAGACTTCCCAGAAAGGGGGTGGCGGGGACAGGACCATACAACCAGCAGCAGGATAGTCAAGAGCTGAGGGAGAGTGGGTTTGCAGGTGTAGAGAGAAGTGGGCAGGGGCTTTGGGCATAGTTCCACCCACAGGAAGGCAGGACTTTTAGGAAGACCATGTCTCACCTCTGAGCACAGAGGATCAGGCCCACAGGAAGATTTGTGTCTGAATGGGAGTGCAGGTGCCTTGGGGAGACAAGGCAGCCTAGGGCAGATCAGAGACATACTAACTTCCCCCCTGTCTTCCTTCTGGCCTCTAATTTCAGCATTATGAAAATTCAGGGTGCTAAGGAGGAGAGAATAGGTTGGGTAAGCTCTGAGGGCCTCTGCCCATCAAGTGGGAAAGAGGACTGTATACTTGGGAGAGGAGTCAGATAGGCCAGTCCTACCTGGAGTGGAGGGGTAGGGGTTGGCTTTTGAGCTCGTAGAAACTGTCAGGATCAAGGATGTTTTCTAATTCAATGTCAGCAACAATCCCAGATTCCGGAAGCAGAGAGTTCAGGCTGAGGGTGGGAGGAAGGAGGAGTGATCAGTGACTGCTGAGAGCTCTAATACCACCCTTCCCCCAGAGACTGGGGGTTGGGGGCTCACACCACAGTAACACTAGGCCACCCAGCAGGGTACTACCACCATGAAGTCCCATGTCCTCTCCCCATCTCCCTTCCCTCTCCGAAATCCATATGGTTACCCATAGTCCCTTAAGAGTGAGAACAATAAAAATGCCTGGATCCCAACCCCCTCACTTGAACAATCACATGCAGCAACCTGGGTTTGGGGGGAAAACAGAGGACTTCAGGAATGACAATTGACTTAGTTGAAGGATTCCCGGCTTTGCATTCAAGAGTTCTCCCAACCCCCACACCCCCTACTGTTTTCCTGACAGCTGAATGCTAACCCAAGTATGTATACGTGCACACAGAACAAGTAAGGGTACCCTCTAAGCCTAACAGTCCATTGTAACACAAACTGAATGCATCACAAAGAGAACTGCGGTCCCTGGTTCACTTTGTATAAGGAGCCCGCACTTTGCAAATGAGTTCTCCCTGTGCCAGCCAGATTTCATGGGCCGCCCATACATACCCTGATATAAAAAATTCAAATAGGAAAAGCTTCCCTCCACCAGTGTGCATTTCCAAGAGAGAATGAGTGGATGATCCCCTTTACAGGAGCATCCTTTCTTAGCTGGAGGAACCTGCCCAGCCCTCTCCTACACATCCCTAATATCAAAGCCCACTGGCACACAAAATAAGCCATATACCCCGGTACTCAGGAGGTGGAGAATGGAGTCTGACTACAAAGGAAGACCCCATCTCAGGTTTTGTTTTTTTTTAAAGCACAGAGCCAGGGGCTTGCCTAGCATGTGAGAGGCCCTGGGTTCCACCCCCAACATTTGCTGCAACAACAAAGCAATATACATTCCTCCCTTTTAACTGTGTTCACTATGGTGTTGTTAAGAGGACTCAGGATGGTGAAGTGATGCGCAAAGGCTCCCTCACAGCCTTCCTTGCTAAGTATAAAGGACCCTAGAGTGCAGACAACACACACACACACACACACACACACACACGTGGCTGAATACAGATTCTAGCTGGGAGTGTAGCTCAGTGGTAGAACACTTGCCCAGCAAGTGTGAGGCTCTGGGTTCCAACTCCGGCTCCCAAACAATATGTACCTTTGAATTTAGCCAAAGATTTAGAATCCCCAAAGACTGTGGGTGACTTCACTTGGTAAGAAGTCTTTCCCCTCCCCAGCAATCCGTCTTCTTTCCCCTCCACACCCTCACATGGGGCTCTAAAACCACCCAGGAAGTTGGGAAGAGGAAGCTTTGGGAGTCGCTGAGCTCAGCACAATCCCAGATATAAAGGAGACAAGCCCCTTCCCACACTCGCACCCACTGCACACAAGTTGGAAAAGATGGGTGCTGGGGTGGGCAAGGGTGTGGACAGGGAGGGCTGATGGAAGTCAGAGGACGAGAAGAGGCGAGACAGAGGACCCACCCAGGCCGGATGGTGCAATCGGTACTCACTCCAGCTCTAGAGACTGATTCAAGATTACACCCGGGAACTGAGAGACAGACTGGGAGGGCGAAATAAAAGGAAGAAGGGGTGTGTGGGTAGGGAGTGGGCAGGGCTGGCTGAAGGGCTACGGAGAGTGGTAGCAAAAACAATACCCTCCTCTGGGTTCCCAAATAAGGTCTGAGGCCTTCCCCCAACTATATCTCCATCCCGTCTGGCCCACAACCTCCCATTAAAGCCCCTGTTCCGTTTGGGAAGAGAGCTTTCCACTATCCTGGGATCTTCCACAGCTAAGTGTGTGTGTGGGGGCGCAGCATTGAAAGATTATGCTCATCAAGTCTTGCTAAGTATTACTTCGCTTGCTTATTCACACACACTCACGGTATAGCTGTGATTCCCCCTCAAATCCCTCCAGATTCATGTTATCCCCAAACACAGCAGCCGGCCACTGGGGGTCACTAAGATTCCCAAGTAGCACCTCGGCCCCCCAGGGTCCTTTCACACAGAAGGGAAGATTCCAGGGTTTCCTTAAAATCAGCGCCTCACTTAACAGTATGCCGTCAAATTCATTCCCCTTGTGACGGACTCAATCAAATTCAGCCTTTAAATCAGTCTCCCAATTTCAGCTACCTCAGAGCAATTTCTAGATACACTACAATTTGTCCCCCCCCCTAGATCCAGTAAAAAGCCCCTCAAATGTGACCCTGGCCCCCTCAAAGCACTCCCACGACTCCTTGAAGCCTCACCCAGTGGATTTCTGACATGCCCCACAAGACCGGCACCCCGACGGCCTTCAAGCCTAGGCCAAGGGTCTCCAATCGCAGTCCCGGGCCCCTACAGTCCCCAGATGAGGCTCCAGGGTTTCCAAATAAGGTCTGAGGCCTTCCCCCAACTAAATCTCCATTCCCTCGGTGACGGAACCCCAGCTGGCACTCCCGGTCCCAGGCGGTCCCGCACCTGAGCAGATGGGCCGAGTTGGCCGGCCTGTGCTCTTCCAACAGCACGAACACTGCTCGATGGCCCTCCGCGCAGGGCTCTACGCCGTCCCGAGCTGGCTCGGCCGCATGAGACATGACGCCCGGCTCCGGGCGAGCCCCGCCAGGCCGGTAGGGCCTCGGCCCGGTCCCCCTAACAAAATAAGAGTCCCCCTCCCCCCGCTCGCCACCGCCTCCTCCTAAGCCATGGAGCTAGCTCAGCGCGGGCGGGCGGGCGGCATTTGGGAGATGGGATGGGTCGTGAGTCATCGCCTGGCCTAAACGTACCAACCCCCCCGAACCTAACCCCGGACGACCGCTCTCCTCCTCCTCGTCCTCTTTCCCCTCCTCCCTGGGCTGGGGAAACTCCACAGGAAGTGACCACACTGGGGATGGACGTCTTGTTGGGCTACACCTTCTGAACAAGGCAGCCAATTGCTGCGGGAAGATCCGAGGGCCCGCCCCAAGCCACTCCTTTGAGGCTTGGGAGCGCAGAGTTCGGCTTGCCCTCCTTCAGGAAAGGAAGCACTTAGGCCACGCCCTCGGTGACGGAAGCAAATAGGCAAGGAGTGATATGGTTGAGTCACGCCTTCATTTTTTGCTTCGCTTCCTGAGCCACACCCCCCTCCTCTCAAATTACCCCCTCCCGCCCCCCGCAAGATATTAAGCTGAGCCTCCGGTTTTCTGCACCTGTGCGTAGAGGCTCCAGACAAGCTTTTAGTTGCGGTACCCACCAGTTCCTTCCTGGTATTCGTCGAAGATGGCACTCCAATTTCGATGTAGTCATGCCTTCTCAAGCCAGAGCTATAACTGTGAGGCAGAAGCAGCTACAGTCCTTGGAGGTGGCAACCAGAAGCCCTGACCTTTCAGTACCCACAGTCCAGCTACCCAGCTGGTCTTCCTGAGAGAGCTCCCTGTTTTGTTATCTAAAGTACTTGCTGTACTATGATCTTATACTACGCAATAGATGGTTAGTAAATCTTTTGACAGATGGATGAATGAGTGGACAGACAGTAATTAGATCTGGTTTTTCAGTGAATGACTTCTGGAATCATAACAAAATGTTTGAATATGACAGGGGACCCTGGATTCCTCTGAGCTTCTGCTTTCCTGGCCTGGCCTGTTAAATGGTGGCCATAATATGTGTTTGGCAGAATTGTTATGATTAGAAATAAATTATGAAAAATTCTAGCAGGCTGTTTGGCATACAATAAACTCTCAAAAAACTAATTCACTCTCATTAATTCACAGATTCAACATTTACTAGGCGCCAGTATGTGCCAGATAATTGCAAGGCAACTGGCACATGGCAGTCCCATCCAAACCTTCAGGTGCATCTAGCTCACAAAAACACCTGAATCTGCCACTTCCCTGTCCTGCTTCCCAACATCCCAAGACCATCAGTTGGATCATGAGAAACTTTACTGGATAAATTGAGTATGGAAGTGTGATGGAACATGCCTGTAAATCCCAGGATGAGGGGTGTGAAGGTAAGAGGATCATATGTTAAAGATCGTCCTTAGTGCCAGCACTGAGGAGACAGAGGCAGGCAGATCTCTGTGAGTTCAAGGCCAGCCTTGAACATAGTGAGTTCTAGGCCAGCTGGGGCTACAGGGCAACTCTGTCTCAAAAAAAAAAAAAAAAAGATCATCCACATAGCGAATAGTAAATTCCTGGCTACTGTAGGATAACAAGGATCCTGTCTCAAAGAAAAGGAAGAGAAACTTCACCTGACTTGTTTCTGGTATTGGCATTCTTATTTCGCACTTGGTTTTGTGAACTTGCACATTCCTGCATACACACAACCATCAGAATGGGCAGAATGGGCACACTCTACATAAGAAAAATTACAATCTAGCCGGGCGTGGTGGCGCAAGCCTTTAATCCCAACACTTGGGAGGCAGAGTCAGGCGGATCTTTGTGAGTTCGAGACCAGCCCGATCTACATAGTGAGTTCCAGGACAGCTGGGGCTACAGGGAGACCCTGTCTCAAAAAGACAAAAAAAAAAAAAGGTTACAATCTTTAGAAAATTTATTGAGGGTGAGGAAGAGCTAGCTGATCTTCTTGAAGGAAGAGACTCTAGATAGGCTGACTAACCCTAACCCCCCGTAGATGAACTTGCATTGACAGACATCTCAGGACGCTAACTTTACATAATAGACCTAATACAAATGACAGAATGGCTGGGCACAGTGGCGCACACCTTTAATCCCAGCACTTGGGAGGCAGAGGCAGGCAGATCTCTGTGAGTTCAAGGCCAGCCTGGTCTCCATAGTGAATCCAGGACAGCTGGGGCTACAGGGAGACCCTGTCTCAAAAAGACCAAACAAACAAACAAACAAACAAAAATGACAGAATGTATGAACTCCAGTGTGGGGGCTGTGGGAGGGTGCCAAAGGGGAAGGGGGTATAAAGATGATTTTATGTATCAAATACACAAAAATGCAATAAATTTTTTTTCAAAATTTATTGAGCTTTTTACATTTCATACAAAAGTTTTTAACCAAATTTAGACCCCCCCATAACCCCCCCACCAGACCCCATTCTTTCCACCATGCATGTTAAGTCCTGTCTAGTGAAGCATTTGTATCCAGTTGTCTTTGGTGCAAGTTCATCCACTGAGTCTAGTCAGCCTATCTATAGATTGTAAGGAAGGTTTACTCTCCCTCACCCAGTAGTAATCAATCTCCAGTAGTTCCCATTCTAGGGCCAGCCAACTGCCCATTTCCCTTGCTCCACTCTGGGCCCTTGTCTGATTGAGTCGGTATGGGTCTTGTGCTCAACAGATGCCCCCATTGCTGCAAGTTCACATGTGCAAGCTTCCACTGACCTGAAAGCCTTTGTTTCCCCATGTTCATGGACCAACCCTGGCCCTTACAATCTTTCTGCCCCCTCTTCTGCAGTGGTCCCTGAGCTGTGGGTATGTTAGTTTTAATATAGGAGTCCTATCCAGGGACACACACTCTCCATCTCTTATTCTCTACTTAGCCAGTTGTGGCCTTCTGTGTGCATCTCACTCTGTTGTACAAGGAAGCTTTGCTGGTGAGAGGAGTTATGTACTAGTATTCTCTCCACCCCCTGTTCTGCTATATTCCATGAGTCTTAGGGGTAGAGGTCCCACTGTTGATATATCACCTAGAACTGGGCATCTCTCAAACATATATTCTCTGTGTGTGACCAGTTGTGGAACTCTGCAGTAGCCTCCGTCTGTTGCAAAAAGAAGCTTCTTTAATGTGCGATATATGGTATACTTGTCTGTAAATATAAGGATACATATTTAGCATATGGTAAGAAATTTCTTTGTCTAGAGATACGACAGTTTTCTCTACGATCTATGACTTCTCCAGCCATGAGTATTTATCTGTGTTTACAGTGCTACCCATGAGTTCACTCCCATTGAGAGGACTTTAATTTCAATTTGATATCTATTGATTACCCCCAGATTACAGTGCCACTACTGCACCAATAGAGGCAATTTGCTGTGTCAGTTGTTATGGTTATTAGGCTTTAGGGCTGGGTTGGACTATTGATTGATTTTCTCCCTTTAGCAGCTTGCATAGTGTTCTAGTTTACTTTCAATTGCTGAGACAAAATACTCTGACCAATACCTGTTTGGGGAATAAAGGGTTTATTTTATCTTATATCTCCTGGGTCACAGTTCATCACTGAGGGAGCCCAAGGTAGGAACCCAGGGCAGGAACCTAGAGGCAGGAGCTGAAGCACAGGCCACGGAGGAACGCTGCTTACTGGCTTACTCCCCTGACAGGTGCTCAGCCTGCTTTCTTTTTCTTTTTTCTTTTAGTTCAATAGGATTTTATTTAAAAATTTGCAAAGCTGTCAGCCTACTTTTTTTTTTTTGTCTTTTTGAAGCAGGGTCTCCCTGTAGCCCCAGCTGTCCTGGAACTCACTATGTAGATCAGGCTGGCCTTGAACTCACAAAGATCCGCCTGCCTCTGCCTCCCAAGTGCTGGGGTTACAGGCATGCGCCACCAGGCCCAGCTCAGCCTACTTTCTTATACAAGACAGGAAAACCTGCCCGGGGTGGCACCACCCACAGTGGCCTGGGCCCTCCCACATTACTCAACAATTGAGAAAATGCACCACAGACAATGCCACAGGCCAGTCCAATGGGAAATTCATCAATTGAGACTCCTTCTACCCAGGTGTGTCAAGTTGACAACTAAAGCTATCCAGCACACATAGTATCCCCGAGAACTATGAGAGATAGACTTCAGGTCAGTTCCTGTACCATTGCTCCAAATCCTGTGTCTAAAGTGTGTCCCATCTTTAGCAGTAGGGTCTTAACTTCTGGAAGATAACCAAGAGCTCTGGCAATAGTCTGTGTTATTTTGGGAGTCTCTTGGACTACTCTTGGACCAAATGGACTACTTTGACCAACCACTAGAAGCAGGGCGGGGGGTGTCTCGCCTGTCTGGCACTGTGTTCCTTGCCATACAGACCCAGAGTATACACATGCACTAATGTTCAGACACTGTATGTGCATTTCTCAGAGCGTTCACTAGTCAACACATTTCCCCCTGGCTTCCCAAGCCCCCCAAGCTCCATTCAAGCTCCATTCATCTCTCTTCTTTCTCCCCATCCAAACTCCCTCCAAGTTCAAGGCCAGCCTGGTCTACATAGTGAGTTCCAGGCCAGCTGAGTCTACAGGGAGACCCTGTCTCAAAAAGACCAAAAAACAAAATACTTTTAGGGGACTGGAGAGATGGATTAGCAGTTAAGAACACTGGCTCCTCTTCTAGAGGACCGAGATTTTATTTCCACACCACACGTAACTCCAGTTCCAGGGGATCCAATGCCCTCTTCCGGCCTCCATGGGCATCACACTACACAGGTACACTTACATACATGCAGGCAAAAGACTCATAAATAAAAATAAACATTTTTTTGGTCTTTTTGAGACAGGGTCTCCCTGTAGCCCCAGCTGTCCTGGAACTCACTATGTAGACCAGGCTGGCCTTGAACTCACAGAGATCTGCCTGCCTCTGCCTCCCTAGTGCTAGGATTAAAGGCATGTGCCACCATGCCCGGTGGTATAAATAAATATTTTTAAAAATATTTTATTTATTATTTTTATTTTATATGTATGCATATATTGCCTGCATGTAGGTAAGTGCACCCGTGTCCTGCAATGCCCGCAGAGGTCAGAAGAAATTGTCGGATCCCCTGGAACTGGAGTTATGGACAGTTATTAGCTGCCATGTGTTTGCTGGGATTTGAACCCGGGTCTTCTGCAAGAACAGTCAGTGTTCTCAATCGCTGAACCATCTCTCCAGCCCCATAAATAAATATTTTTAAAAATTGCTTTTAGGGATGGGGCTGG